TTTTGTATTGACACTATGAAGGATATAATTGCACGAGATTGACCAATAGTTGAGAAAAAACATCGCGAAAAGTTAGTTATTAAAATAATATTTTGAATATTCAAAATTTTGTGCCGGTGTATCATCGTTCAGAACACTTTAATATTACTTGTGGATAGACGTATAAATATACACAGCCATTACACAAAGATTTGCTAGAGTAACAATGAAAACGGAGAAGCGATGCAGTAATATAATATAATAAAAAAAACAGACAAAGAAGCTTGATTCATTTAGGAATAATGATCTGGCAGGGTAACACCATTGTTCGTAGGAATAATGACCTGGCAGGTAACGCCATTGTTCGTGGGAATAATGACATGGCAGGTAACACCATTGTTCGTATGAATAATGACCTGGCAGGTAACGCCATTGTTCGTAGGAATAATGACCTGGCAGGTAACGCCATTGTTCGTAGGAATAATGACATAGCAGGTAACGCCATTGTTCGTAGGAATAATGACATTGCAGGTAACGCTATTGTTAGTAGGAATAATGACCTGGCAGGTAACACGATTGTTCGTAGGAATAATGACATGGCAGATAACGCCATTGTTCGTAGGAATAATGACATTGCAGGTAACGCTATTGTTAGTAGGAATAATGACCTGGCAGGTAACGCCATTGTTCGTAGGAATAATGACATGGCAGATAACGCCATTGTTCGTAGGAATAATGACATTGCAGGTAACGCTATTGTTAGTAGGAATAATGACCTGGCAGGTAACACGATTGTTCGTAGGAATAATGACATGGCAGATAACGCCATTGTTCGTAGGAATAATGACATGGCAGGTAACGCCATTGTTCGTAGGAATAATGACCTGGCAGGTAACGCCATTGTTCGTAGGAATAATGACCTGGAAGGTAACGCCATTGTTTGTGCGAATAATGACCTGGAAGGTAACGCAATGGTTCGTTGTGTATTTAAGGTTCAATAATTTCGATTTCACTTCAGATTCAGTGTTCAGTTCTATGAGTTGAATAGTTGTCTTCCATTCAGTATAAGTCAATAAGAACAACATATTGGGTCAGTAGTTATGTTGAAAGCATTCATGAATGGGATGGTTAAAAAAAGTCTTCTTCTCATGTTTTCATTAATCAGGGATTTATAATCGTGGTACACACGTCCTGAAATACAGCGTTTAATGCATCGTCGAACATGCTCATTTAAAATACGCTTGTAAATCATTGGACTTTTTGACATTTGACTGAACTCAAATTTGAATTTACAATTTATTGTTTTAATATTGATAATTATTTTGTAAATACACGTATAATATAATCAGCATCATGTAATTGAGGTAGAATGCATGTTTGTGGGCAATCCCATTCGCAATCGCAATCGCAAGTTATAACTATGTATATTGTGTATAATGAAACGGTTGTAATTTTACCGTTATCGAATTCCGGAATATTACCAATTTTATTTTACTGAAAATAATACTAAAAAAGATTATCAGAAAAATTTCAAAAATGCTTCTTTTGAACGCGCTGCATAATTAAGGCTATACATAAATAATACCGGAATCTCCATATAATTTACTATGAGAAGATGTTTATGCAAAATATACATCCGTTTATATTACAAAAATTAAGACAACGGCCAAATTAGGACAGAATTATGTTGACATCGTGTTTTTTATTTATATCAAGTTTAAACAATTATAGTACCACAAATGAATGCAGGTGCCATGTTTTTTTTATTTCGTCATTTTCACGCTAAACGATGCGCAAGTAATTATGGACTAAGTAACTGTATTTAAAGGTTATTGCAATATACGTGTAATCGCTTCGATACAGGTATTCCGATTGTCGCGAATTAAGCGTTGGATACCCCCCTCTACCACTTAATTATTTGCCGAATCTCGGAAGGTAAATCGAACAGATATTTGATTCTTTAGTGTTTAAGTTACCTTTCCCGCAAACGAAGAGAAGCAAATAGTGGATGTCCGACATACGATGACGTGCGTATCATGTTATATACAAACATTAATATGCAAACTCTGAGGGAAGCAAGAATGCGCAGAAATTCGATAATTGTACCTGCAGTGCATTAAATTGGCGCCATACAATGATAAAAGATAATGGGAAACGGTGTTCGTACATGCAGAAATCCCTCAGAACACAGACAACCTATATACAGGACATGCAATGTATATCAAATAGATTGTTATGGATGCTGTTCCGGAGATCGATTCAGCTCCGCGTTCCCAATGGTAATCTGAAAATATTAGGGTAATATTCACCGAAACCGCGAAAAGATTTTCCGCTAACTTTGTTTCGGTTGTATAATTGAATTAAATACTCTGCTTTGAATAATGTCATTTATAGGATTTAGACGTGTTAGACCACCATAGAAATTTCGCTACGATAAAAGACGAGTAAAATATAAGCAACCGTCCAACTCGTAACAAAGTCTCTCCCGAGACAACGAAAAAAAAGAGAAAAATTGTCAGTTTTCTGAATACCATGTACCCTCCCGTTAAACGGTAATAATGTCACCACAAGTGCTATGTACTCCCAGAATTGTAGTATTTCGCAATCGACACTATTCTATTCTGTTAAATATGCATATGTATATTGTGTTTAAGATGTAAACAATTGTGGCGATGATATTCGTTTATTCTAGACGAACCCACCCATGCGTATATGCCATCCATACTGTGCTAGAATGTGTCTCTGATATTCACTTTAGAAATCGCAATGATCTGTCACTGTTTATACTTTTATGGTTTAAAGTAAGCGGCGCCGGTTTATATTAGTTCTGGAACATGCATTTTCCCATTTAGCTAAGTACGTGAGTGATTTCGTTATTATCCATATTGCCCTATCGACCCCACCACTTATAAAAGACTTGTTTTAATTTGTTTTTTATATTTGAACAACGATAAAAGGCAAACAATTTTCTCCGCAAATTACATACGTTGCATGCAGTAATGTTTATAGGCGTAGTAAACTGAATCTTTATTTATTGATCATTTTTCAACCAAGTCGAAAGAACAGCATTTCCCTAAAAATTTGGTCCAAGACGTACACAGTTCACGGTATTGCGCATAAGCAAATTTGCACCAAGCAAAAAAGGTATTGATTATTACCGTGATAGACACATGTCAATAATGATACGACTTATATACTACAAGACTAAAACACTACCAGCTATGAAACTATACCACTACTAGCTGTGAGACTATACCACGACTAGCTATGAGACTATACCACTACTAGCTATGAAACTATACCATTACTAGCTGTGAGACTATAACACTACTAGCTAGGAAACTATACCATTACTAGCTGTAAGACTATAACACTACTAGCTATTAAACTATACCACTACTAGCTGTGAGACTATACCACTACTAGCTATTAAAATATACCACTACTAACTATGAGACTATGCAACTACTAGCTATGAAACAACACCACTACTAGCTTGAGACTATAACACTACTAGCTATGAGACTATAACACTAATAGCATTGAGACTATACCACTACTAGCTTTGAGACTATAACACTACTAGCATTGAGACAATAACACTACTAGCATTGAGACTATAACACTTCTAGCACTGAGACTATAATACTATAGCATTGAGACTATAACACTACTAGCATTGAGACTATAACACTACTAGCATTGAGACTATAACACTTCTAGCACTGAGACTATAATACTATAGCATTGAGACTATAACACTTCTAGCACTGAGACTATAACACTACTAGCATTGAGACTATAACACTTCTAGCACTGAGACTATAATACTATAGCATTGAGACTATAACACTTCTAGCACTGAGACTATAACACTACT